TTTCTCACTACTACATCTTTTGTCCTTTCTCATCTTTCCCTCCTTTTCCCAAATTTGGGTCTAAAATCCTTTGAGTCACAACTCCAGCTTTATTTAGTAATCCTTCCGCATTCACACATCTCCAAGTATTTGAAAATATTTTCTTTCCACTCAAAAATAAAATATGAATAAAGGTTTACGGCTTTGTGAAACTTCTTTTTTTAGTTTATGCCGTTGAAATAAATAAATAATAAAAAAATTAAAACATTTGTCGGTTTTGTTTACATGTTTATTGGGCCGCATTGGAACTTGCCTTGGGCCGCGGGTTGGACACCCCTGATCTAAGGCTTATTTTTCGTAAATAGTTTATTTTTGATTATCAATGAAATGACCAAAACATTGTAGGTTTCATAATTTATTAAATGTATGCTTCTATTTACTTTATTACAGTATCATGTTCTATCAATATTACTATACATGCAAATAAGAAATATTTACTCTGTAATAGTATATTAATTATTATTATTATTAAATAAACCATTATATATAGGATACAGCATCAGTACTTATATAATAAAGTATAGATCATAAAATATCTTGGGATTATGTGTAACATATCATACATCTTTTATACAAAAGTTTAAAAAAAGGAAGAAGTATGGTGACAATGTTGTTTTATCAAAATTGATACTGTACTTATGTTTTATATATGTGAATATAGAATCTTAAAACATTTAGAAAGTAATATATTTTATGGATTTGATTTACTAGACTCGCTTTCCATACATACATATTACTAGAACATTTCTTTTATGGTTTGAAGCCTAAAATATTTACACTCGTTTTCATTTCATTGACTGTATTTCTTTCTAAAAAATTACAATTGAAATATTACTACTTTAAATTTGAATTTATTATTATTATTTTTTAATGGTAAACTTTTTAAAGAAAGGAATCACAATTCATCTTTAAAATAATTATTTATAAAATAATTAAATAATAATTATAGCTTTAATTTAAAATAAAATTAAAGTTATTCTATTCCATTATAATTTTTTTCTACCCCTCTTATTTTTAGTAGGCCTATATTGCATTAAAAATTTTTAAAATAAGCAGATAATATACGAGTAGAATATTTAAATTAACTTTTATAATAATTCATAAATTGGTTTTCTACGGATAAAATTATGAATAGAAGGATGAATATTACACATAAATTATAAACATGGGCATCCGCAGAAAAGTTTTCAGAAGGACAAAGCTCGGAGACAATCATATCAATAAATTTTTATGTAATTAAATAATTTTTCTGGGTGTTTTCACAAGTAGATTATAGAATACAGTGTTACGTCAATACAAAAAGAAAAAGAATACCCATAATCGAGGGTGTAAGGTTACGTATCTCTATCATTTTTACGATTGTAATTCACGGAATTTTTTCTCCATTCGAAGAAGGGACAAGTGCCTCGTTTGCCCCTCTCTGCGGGCGCCCACGATTACGAATAAGTTAATATAATATCTAACTCGATGTTACATGAAAAACAAGAAATTTTATTTGGATAAAGGAAATTCATAATCTATTTAGAAAACATCAGCCAATAATGTGTATCGTACGGTTAAGATATTCTATATAAATAAAATTCTCATTTCCACAATAAAGCTAGTTATATTAATACTTTTACGAAGAGCATTACCGAAAATTGTAACTAAAGAAGATGAATTACGATATCTAACATATCCACAATTGCCTATCCCATCTCCAATATCACATAAATGCATCTTCTTGAAGAAAAACAGGAATGAGTGGCTGCTGAATTGATTTTTCTATGAATAAATTTGACTAATATTTTCTTTTTAATGTATAATTTTAAGCACTCCTCGTGTGAATTTGAAAATTTTATTGTGTGTTCGCTAATCAATGGAATTAACCGAGATTAAAATGTTAATAATAAAAGTCAACAATTTTTATATTTTATTAAAAATAAAAATATCTTTTCGTAATACTATAGGAGTACTATTCGTAGCTTATTCATCCATTATATGATTTTAAAAATCAAAAATAAACCGGGTAAATTATTTTAAAAATTTCTAATTTTCATCTGTAAAAATCGGATTAATTCTTAAATAATTAATAGCAAAAAAATTCCTGTAATAAAGTTTTTTGCAATAAAATTTTATACGATTTATAAAAGTTCGTAAACGACGTCGTAACAGAATGCCATTTCGAAAATTGATCCGTAACATTTTCCAGTTATCATAATAATAATGAGATCCCTTTCAATCTAACAGCTTGTGAAATAATTGCATATTATGTTGAATAACCGAGATTTTTTGCTAGGTATTAATGAAATCTAATAGGATAATACGACATTTTTCTCTATAATGCCAATAAAATACAAAAAACACCACAGTAACTCCTACAAATATGCAGTTATAATTAATTTGAAATATTTACTTACTTTGTAGAGCCATTGGTAAGTCATGTGGATCCATGAATTGGGTGTATTTAGTACTGCGTACTCTAAATTTAAATTGATTTTTGATGTAATATCGGTTAGGAGTACGGTGACTTTTCGTTCACCTTGTATAAAATAATAAACATGGATACATCCAATTACTATCTAACTTACATAGTATTTATTGTTATTTTATACATTGTTTATTTTTATTATTTATACATCGATATATTTTCTCGGGTAAACTTAATATGTTAATCTCTTTAAAAATGCATTAATCTAAATACTGGTATTAATTCGAATAATTAATTACATAAATGTTCGGGCAGAAAAACATTAATGGGGATTTTCGTGAAATCCTATGTCGTTATATAGAAATAAAACGAATAATTAAGTACTACTGGAGAGGAAAGCTCTGATTGTATAATTTGTTTTTCTTTTTATAAAAGCAGAAATATTTAATTTAAAATTCGTCGCATATTACAAATTATTTGTCTAGATTTTATTACTTATCTGTCATGCAGGTAAGAATTCCTATAAAAATATTTGTCATTTCGTTTGACTGCTTATAAATCGAATTTGATTCGTATGATACGAATACATATAAATTCAGAAATGTTACAGATGAATAAAATAATAATATAAATGAATTATAGATGAATAACAGACAGTTATCTTGCGTCACACGATAATAATATTCACGTCACAGGAAATTCTCTAAAGAAAAGATTCTCAAAACGCGAATTTCAGCAGTTTCCATCTTACAAAATTTTTTAGTCCGATATAATAATAGTTAAATTCCCTTAATTTACTTCAAATCGCTTTAAGTTTCATGTGTTTATTTTTAAAAGTGAAGAAATGCGAGTAATCAAACTGTATCTAATGTATAAAACTGTACTTTAAGCGAGCGAATCACTGACACGAAATGTTTGAATGAAAGCAGACATCTTACCGAAAAAATAAATGGTCCGGTAGAAAGAGGATCTGCAGGACATTTTTAAAAATATCTGGAATCTCGAAAATACTTTATATTCTACAAGGCGTCAAACTTTAACACTAGGTAACAATGAACAACATAGCACGCAAACTAAACATCTTAAGCGCCATCTGTATTTTTTTTTTAATTTAATCAGTTTACAAGATTTTAAATTCTAAGGTATCTTATTATTAATTATATTTTATTAAATTTACTTGATATATACATAAATAACTGTAAATAATACATAAAATAAATATTGTTTTGCGTAAACTGTGGTAATTTTTTAAACAAATGTAGTAAAATCGGAAGAGATCGAAACACCGAAATTAGACCGCTGAAATCGGGCGAGATGGAACTCTCGTCCGCTGAAAAATACTAGATGGAACTCTCGCCCGCTTTCATAAAATTATTTTTCTTGTATATGTGACCAAATCAAATCTATCTATATAGAGAGAGCAAAATCTATTTCCAATTCGTTAAGGTACTTGCATACGTTTACGTTTTATACATTATTTTAAAGCATGTACATAAGCCCTATTGTGTCTATTTTGCTATTTAACATCTTTTAAAATAGTTATAAGCAAAAATATGCCCAATTTAGCTTTTCCTGTAGTGATGCCTCTCCCTGACGATCATGCGACTATATGCCATTATATTACGAAGTGGTATATAATGGTGTATAGTCGCATAGTAGTGTCTATCCCATTCCAATCTATAATTAAAAATATGCAAAATATTACAAAATTATCATTATTGTAACAATTGCTTGAAACTTTAGAAGCGATAAGAAAATAAGAAACCGACTTGCCGGATCTACCGTTTTACCAATATATCGAGAATTCCGAATTTTAATGAAATATGTAAATACTAGCTGTTACCCGCGGCTTCACCCGCGCGGTGATCTGAAAGCAATGCATTAATATAAATAATGGCAATCAATTTGTCCTTATGTTCGAATCTAACAACCACTAAACCAAGCGATCGCTGTAATTAATTGGGCTATTTTTTCTATATTTACAGAAAAATAAAGTTTTATTTACCCCAGTACCTCTTTGTAAACCACGTTTGTGGTACTGCCTGTCGGGCTAAGACTTTTTAAGCCTTAATCCTCTCCCTCTCCAACCGCGGGGGAATTTCCAAAAATCCTTTCTTAGTGTACATATTCATGACATACCCTAACTGTTTACCAAATTTCACCTCTTTAGGTTCAGCGGTTTGCTCTGGGCGATGATGAATCAGTGAGTCAGTCAGTCAGTCAGGACAAGTAATTTTATATACATAGATTTCGGAAAATTAAAGTCATCGTTATGTAAATAGGTTCATTCCAACACATTCGCATTGTGTTTATAAAACAAAAACTGCTACAGAATTATTTATATACATCATTTTTACAGTCTACGAATTAACTTTCAAAATTTGTATGTAATTTATCTAGAAAAAAAACTAAACGAACTTTACTCATTAATGATTTACTTCGGTTTAATTATGCGCAATCAGTTTAAGGTAATAAATTTCAAGTAATAGCAAGCAAGTTTATTGACACCAGAGTTAATACAAAGAGGGAAATAAGAAAACAATCAGCACAACTAATTGCCGGAAAGCAATTTAAATATTACTCAGACGATAAAAAATCGAAATAATTCAAAAAGTTAATTGAGTCATCAATAATGAAAATCCTCAATAATAAAAAATCTTTGAATTTTTCTCAGATTTTAGAAAGTGTTTTTAAGGAAATCAGAATCTCTTAAAAGGTTTTCAAAGAGATTCGTCAAATACTTACAAACAACGTTTAAAATAATTCACGAATCTTTCTATTGCTAAAAATATATTTTAAATATATTAAAAGTTTAATATACTTTGCTCATATGATTTAAAATTTTGTTTACAAATATAATCGAAAATTTATTTGTTTTGATAAAAATATTCATCTCGCTGATACTCATTCGATAAAATAAGAATGAAATTTCTACTATTTCAAAAATATTCATAGTTCATACGCTGTATTATCATGTTTATTATTTTAAACTTTGCACAATTGTCACGTTTTATTCTATTTTGGTCGAGTTGTTGATTCGGTATCATTTTTCTCTAGCTAAGTTTATCCGTACAAAGTTTGTATTATAATACCATCAGCACTTTTTCTATTTTAAAAACTTCTAACTTAAAACATTGATATCGTATTTTGCAACCAAAGCAATTGAAAATATTTTACTTATATCGATTTTACAATTTCTTTTTCTCTCAAAAATGAAATCTCATCTGATGATAAGACACTTTCACTTCCATTATTTTAAACACGCATAGCTACCTACATACCGTTTAATTCCTGTTTGCTTACAATAAACATTCTAAGTAACATATCTTATTCATTTGTTAATTAAACGCATTACATTTTAATAAAAAATTCAAATATACATAGAATAAAATTAATATTAAAATAGTTATGTATATTTTTCGTTTATTTTCTTAAATTAAATTAAATTATTTTAAGACAGTTGTCTGTAATATAATATTTCATGAAATAACTTTTTATAAATAATTTTATGAAATTTAATACTGGCTTACAATATTTTTCATTTTGAATTTCTGCTCGGTTCATTTATACAGAATATAATGGATGATTCTAAGTGACAAATCAATTGCATAATCCGTTTCGTACAAAACGGATTATGCTATTGGTTTGCTTACTTAGCTGCTTGTTCAATTCAATATGCAAGCCGAAACAAATACATTAAATCTTAGCTTTGTGGCCACCTCAATTACGTGGCTAACTCGCTTACATGAATATCCCTGAAACTCCCTGTAAAACTGCATACGTTTTAATATAAATCAAACTCCATCTGAAGTGGCCAAAATAGGAGTGTTCTGAAGTGATATCTATCCCTGTTTATGTGGACAACAGAATAGGAAAACCCAATCTTTTTAAACCTAACATGTTGTTTAAAGCACTTTAAATTGAATTGAGCTTTGCTTCTAAAGTTTTGGAACAGTTTACTATGGTTTTGGAAGAGTTATTGGAATGTAATCTGTCGGAGGAGTTTTCTCCCACAAATGGCATTCAAACGAAATAATCCTTATTTACACTGGTAAAATTAAATATATCTCTAGAATTTAGTAATAAAGACAATTATATATTTATTCAATATATACATGAGTACTAAACAGAATTGTTTGGTATCCATCGACCTGGGTACTAAACCGTAGACCTGTACAAATCCTACTGTAGATAGCTTGTATTCACTGTACTGTACAGTACATATAATTTGTACAAGTATTTTGATATTTTATTAATATTAATACATCATCCCGTACGAAAGTTTTTAATTTCCGTACGAAAATCTTTTTTATTCTTTTTTGCAGATATTAGCCACATACTGTACTTTAAAGTTTTCTTCTTGTGAAACTCTGTTGCATTTCTTGCATATTTTTATGCCGTGGGAATCGAACACTCATTTAGCATTTCGAACAACGTAATACTTGTAAAAGTATTTCTTTATCTAACAATAAATTGCAACACTATTTTTTTGTGTCAGGCATTTCGAGCACTCGCTCTTTGTCAGTCGCCGTATCTAAATCAAAGTTTTAATGTCGAAGTACGAAAGAATATTTGATTCCCCCAACATAAAAGTAAGTTAAATCATTTAAATTATTTACAATAAATTTGTTCGTTATTTATTAAACTGTTTGAATGTCATTAACGTTTATTTGCATTTTCTGTTGTCTTTCCTGAAGAAACTTGTTAAAATCACGAATATGTTCGTGAATAATGAACGAAACTCGAGACATTTTGTTCCACTTTTGTGAAATGTCTCCTTTTTCTTGCTCGAAATGTCTGAATAAAAGTTAAAATTTTTAT